GAAGGGTTTGGAAGGGAGCTTAAAGCTCACCCGGTTCCAATGGCAGGGGGGAGCAGCTTCCACTGGAGCAGCTTGCTCCAAGCCCCTGTGTCCAACCTGGCCTTGAGCACTGCCAGGGATGGGGCAGCCACAGCTTCTCTGGGCACCCTGTGCCAGCGCCTCAGCACCCTCACAGGGAAGAGCTTCTTCCTCAGAGCTCATCTCAGTCTCCCCTCTCTGTCAGTTTAAAGCCATTTGATGGCACCTTCATGCCTCGGGCGGGTGGGGATGGGGACACGGAGCCAAACACGCACCGGCTGCAGCCGAGCATCACCCGGGGCTGGCCCCTGGGCCGGGGGCTGCCGCGGGACCCTCATGGAAGAGAGGCTCCCCCCCGATGGACGGCGGTGCCTGGACGCCAGCCCGGCCCCTGGCGCTGCCGTGGTGCGAGCGCAGCTCCTGCGCCGGGGCAGCTCCTGCCGCTTCCCCTCGCGATGGAACCCAGCGAGCGGCTCCTCGGCAAAGCCAGACCTCGGCGGCGGCGGCACCGGGGGCAGCCGGGTGAGTGCCCCCCCTTCCCCTTCACCTCCTCTGCCTCCGGCCGGGGTGTGCGGCCGCCTCATGGGGCTGCTCCGTCCTGGACACCCAAACCTCACCCGTCCCTGCCCTCACTCAGGTCTCGGCAGCAGGACCTCGCTGGAGGACTCAGCCACAGCAGGGTCCTTCCTGCGCTCCCCTCCCTGGGGTCGCTCCCATCCGACCCTGGGCAAAGCATCTCCCGTGAGGCCCCTTTTTAGCGGCGGAGGGTCCCCGTGCTCCTCCCCGAGCCCCGCTTTGCCCCGGTGAAGACGCGGCCCCTTCCTCTTCCTCCTCCTCGCCGGAGGCAGCGGCCGGCCCGGCCGGCTCCCACTTAAGGACCCTTCGGTGCCAGCTCCCAGGTACGTCCCCCCGGCTCTGCGGGGCGGGGGGGGTCCGTAGCGGAGCCATGGGTGCCGGCGGGAGCTGCAGGGTGGTGGGCGCAGCCCGGGGGAGCCGCCGGATGCCGCTGTGATGCCGGGGAGCGCCCGGGAGCGGTGGCGGCAGGGGCAGGGTAAAGCAGGGCGCAGACAGAGCCGGTGGCGGGTCCCTTCCTCCGGCAACTCTCCGCTCTTGTCTCGCCCGCCCAGGCTCCCTCCGTCCTGCCGGCGGCGGGTGATGCCGGGCCGGAGCCGCTCGGAGCCGCTCCCGGCCCATCCGAAGCCCTTTCCCATTCCCAAACGAGCCTTTCCGCCTCGCTTCCTCTCTCAGACCTAGGAAGACGTCAGGTTATAGCCTCTGCTTGAGAGGTGGCCGCGGGGCTTGGGGCTGCCCCGCGGGGCTGCGGGCGCTGGCTCCCGGGGGGATGCTGCTCCCCTGCGGCATCGCTGCGAGCGGGCAGAGGGATGCTGGCGGGGTGGCTGCCTGCTTGCTGCTGGCTTCCCCCCATCCCAAACCCCCGCGGGGACAGGGAGCGAGGAGAGGCGATGGGCTGCGGCGCATCCTGCCCCAGAGCGGGCTCCGGGCCGGGGGGGGGGCACCCCCGTGACACCGGTGATAGGGACCTCAGGTGGTGGCGGGTGCTGGTAGGTGGGTACAGGCAGCCTGGGGCCCCGACCCCTCCACTGCCACCGCAGAGCCCGCTTCAGCCTCACCTCCTCCCCGTGCGCCGCTGGTGTGGGTGCCCTGCTCTGCCTCGCTTGCCCCGCTGCCCCCCGCATGCCCCGCTGCCCCCCGCGCCCGCGCCCCCATCGCTCCCGTTTCTCCTCCTCCTCTCTTTGCAGAGAAGAAGCAGCAGCTCCAGCCCCCGAAGTCGCGCCCGCCCGGCCTCAAGGTCCGCCTGCAGAAGCGGCCGCGGGGCCCGTCCTGAGCCGCCTCCTCCTCTCCCACCTTTCTCAGGAATGCCGTGCGGGAGCACGCCGGGGCCGGGCCGCCCCGCGGCCCCTTCGCTTGACAGAACTGGTCGTTGGCCTCGTTTCGGATGCTTTTGTCCTTGTTTTTACGTGTTCTGCCTGGTTTAAGCACCGCCGTGGGGCTGGTCGCGGACCCCCCGACCCTGGTTTGGAGTTTTGCCCCTGGTTTTTACCGTGTCTGTGACATTTCCCTGTCGATGAGTAAAGAGGGACTCCCGCGTCCTGGTCTTTCTTGTGCATCTTTGTTGTCAGTGTGTTTTTCTGCCTTCCCCGTCCACCCCGTAAAGCAGGTAATGGTTGTAGCCAGGGGTGTGAGCCCAGGGAGAGGAGGACCCATCCCAGCACCCGCGGGGGCTGCTCCCAGCTTGGCCGAGGGACGGAGGAGCTGCTTGTTGCTGGTGCAGGCGCTTGCTTGGCTGCTCTCTCGCCGGCGGCAGCGGCGCAGGGCTGGGCACTGGGATGTGGGCATGGACGCCGGAGCCGGGATGCTCTCCCACCTCGCCCAGCTCAGCCGCGGCCGCTCTGCTCTCTCGGCAGACAAGGACGAGTGCTCCAAGAACAACGGGGGCTGCCAGCACGAGTGCCTCAACTCCTTCGGCAGCTACGAGTGCCAGTGCCGCAGCGGCTTCGTGCTGCACGACAACAAGCACGACTGCAAGGAAGGTGGGTCTGAGCCCCAAACTCCCCACAGCCCCAACCCCTGCACCCCTGAGCCCCCTTGTCCCCGCAGCCGGCTGTGACCATAAGGTGACGTCCACCACGGGGACCATCACCAGCCCCAACTGGCCTGACAAATACCCCAGCAAGAAGGAGTGTACCTGGGCCATCAGCACCACGCCGGGGCACCGCGTCAAGCTGGTAGGGCTCTGTGGGTACCAGGGGATGGGTGGTAATGGGGGGGTCCCCCCGCTGAGCCCCACCGAGTGCTGGTGGCTCTGTCACTTCCACAGACCTTCTCGGAGCTGGACGTGGAGGCGCAGCAGGAATGTGCCTACGACCACTTGGAGATATACGATGGCAAAGACGCCAAAGCCCCGGCGCTTGGCCGCTTTTGTGGGGCCAAAGAGCCCGAGCCCCTCGTCTCCTCGGGCAACAAGATGTTCCTCAAGTTCGTCTCTGATAACTCCGTGCAAAAGAAGGGCTTTGAGGCCACCCACGCCACAGGTACCGGCACGGAGCCTGGTTATGGGGCAGGAGGAGGCTGTGGGCCCGCCTCAGCATCCCCTCGCTGCTGTCTCGTCCCGCAGTGTGCGGCGGCCAGGTCCGCGCTGAGGTGAAGACCAAGGACCTGTACTCGCACGCACAGTTTGGGGACAACAACTACCCCGGGGGCTCGGACTGCGAGTGGGTGATCATGGCCGAGGAGGGCTACGGCGTGGAGCTCATCTTCCAGACCTTCGAGATCGAGGAGGAGGCCGACTGTGGCTATGACTACATGGAGCTCTTTGATGGCTATGACGGGACAGCGCCTCGCCTCGGGCGCTTCTGCGGGTCCGGGGTGAGGATGGGGCGAGGGGGAGGGATGGGGAGGGCAAAAGGAAGGGATGGAGGCATCCCCAGGCCAGGCTGGATGTGGTTCAGTGCAAGCTGATATAGGTGATCCCTGCTCAGTGCAGTGATTGGAGGAGCGGTGGATATTGGGAAAGGTCAGGGTATTAGGAAGGGTTCATGCCTGGAAGTGTTGGCACACCGTGTAGCCAAGGCCCCCAGTGCCATGGGTCAGTGGTGGCCTTGGCAGTGCTGGAGTAAGGGTTGGACTGGGTGAGCTTAAAGGGCTTTCCCAACTTGGTTGATCCTATGATTCTATGAAAGACCCAAACTGCTGTAAGCTGAGCCAGACCAGCCAGAGCATCCCTGGGGGGGACTCTGGGGTTGTAGATGGGGGTGCAGGCAGTTGTGCACCCCCGGGATGCTCACGGTGCTGAGGACCCCTGTCCCTCGTCCCGGCAGCCCCCGGAGGAGGTGTACTCAGCCGGAGATTCGGTGATGATCCGCTTCCACTCGGACGACACCATCAACAAGAAGGGTTTCCACCTTCGCTACACCAGCACCAAGTTCCAGGACACGCTGCACACAAGGAAATGAGGGCCCGGGGGGGTCCCGGCCCGCGCCGCGGGCAGGGAGGAGGAGGACGGAGGAGGCAGGAGGAAGGCAGCGGGCGCGCACCCCGCACAGACTGCCCGAGGCGCACACAGCCAACCTCAGCACTCAAGACACGCTCGCACAGAGCCCCGGGGCTCGGGCACCCCTGGGCACAAGGGCAGAGGGGGGGTCCCTGGGCCAGCAGCCGTGCCCCTGGCACTGTGCAGGGCACACGAGGGCCCCGTCGCCCTTCCTCACCCCGGCCGAGCCGGCCGCAGCTCTGAATGTACAAACCAGTAACCGGGAAGAGCCCAACACACACAAGGTGCTGTCTCCCTCTTGTACCGACGAAATAAATACCCTTGTACTTGGAGGGGGCAGCCCCGGTCTTTTTGCTTCCCCCGCTCCAGGGGGAAGCATCCAAACCAGGGCTGGACCAGGGAGGGCAGAGCATCCCTCCCTCCCCGCAGCAGAGCCGCACGTCGGGGCTCCCCAAAGGCAATCAGTTCATTGCAATCCGCAGTGATGAGCTGGAGCCACAGCCAGAGCGAGTCCCTCTGTGGGTGCTGGGTGCTCCCCCCGGCCGCCTTCGGGCAGCTCTGCGGGTAGGTGCTCACCCCACACCTTTGGTTCCCCATTGGGAACGCATCCCCAGCCCCATCGCAAGCCACCCTCCCTGGTGGGTGCGCTGCCGCCTGCCGCAGATGGATGGTGGGATGCAGCACGCGCTCCCTCGCGCATCCCCTCCTTCGTCCTTCATGTGATGGTGCCTGCGGTGGGGGAACGGGGCTGCTCCTCACCCGCAGCCCGGATGGGAAGTGATGGGCGCCGGGGCCTCTCATCCAGCAGGGTTTGCAGTGATGGGTGATGCGGTGTCAAAACCGTGCTCTTGTGGCTGGTGAGAGCGGGAGGGTGCCCATTGCTATCACAGCACCTCCCGGTCCCCCCTCCCCACCCTGTCCCTCCCCTCCGGAGCACCCCCGGGGCTGGAGCAGGGACAGAGGCGCGGGACACGGCCGGTGTGACCGCACAGTTTATTGATACAGCGCCAGCACAGCACAGGGATGCTTGGGACGGGGAGGTGGTTGTGTCCCACCGGAACAGCGTGCAGGGGGTACACAGAGAGGGGAGCCCGCGGGGGCCATGCTGCCGACGGCTCATGCGGGGGGCTGCAGAAAGAGGGGGGGGGACACAGGGCGAGGGGGGGGCAGCTCTGCTCCCCCACCCGGACTCCTCCGGCTGCCATGGGGACGGGTAGAGCAGAGAGTGAACACAGCACGACACCAAGGGGGGGACGTGGCGGTGCCGCCCCGCACCCCAAACCGGTGCCCCAAAGCGGGGGTCCCTGCCCCAGCACTCCTCCATCCCAGGGCGCAGTCCAGGACTGGGAAGGGGGGTGTTTTCCAGCCTCTCCGACGAACCCCGTGGGGTGGGGGGTAAAGGGATGCTGGAGGGGATGGGGGTCCCGCAGAGGATGCACAGAGGCGGGCAGAGCGCGGGGCTCACGATGCGAGGATGGTGCTGGTCGGCCGGTGCAGGAGACGAAGGCTTCCTCCCACTGAGCGGCCCAGGCTCTGCCTCAGCACCGGGCGAGCATCCCACCAGCTCCCTGCTGCCGCGGGCCGGGTTCCGCAGGCCCATCCGCGTCCTTCCCCCAGCAGCATCCATGGGTCTGTGCCCCCGGCCGGCCCTGCCCGAGGCCCCCCCTTAGCGCCCCACGCTGATGTTGCACGTCTTGCAGCTGGGGTCCTTTTTGGCGTTGGCGGTGGAGAGGCTCATGAGCTGGTGGCCGCTGATCTCCCCCAGCACGCCGAGGCTGAGGTCCACCGGCTCGGTGTATATGAGCTCCAGGATGCTGTCCTGGGCATGGCGGTACACCAGCTCGCCCTCCTCCACGCAGCACGTCAGGAACTTGTTGGAGGAAATGTCCAGCTGGGGCAGGCGCTCCCTGCAGAAGAGATCCCCGGAGGAGCCTTTGGGCGCCAGGACCAGCACGACGTAGTGGTAGGCGGTGTACATGCAGTAGAAGTCCGCGAAGTAGAGGTTGGTGTTGGTGTTGAAGAGGCGCTGGGCTGGGATCTGGAAGCGGTACCGGCCGTAGGGCGAGTCCTGGGGGGGCTGCCCGGTGTTGAACTCGGTGTTGCAGCTGAAGAAGATGCCGTGCAGCATCCCGCTGGTGGGGGAGCCGTGGCTGCCGCTGTTGTCCTTCAGCGACGGCTTCATCACGTTCCCGCAGTGCATCCTGCGTGCGGGGAGCAGGGGGGCACACAGGGGGACACACACAGAGGTCAGGGATGCAGCCCCGGTGGGGAGTGGGTGTCCCGGGGGGGGGGGGGGGAGCAGCTGGGAACGGGGGTACCTGACGTGCTGGAAATACTCCTTGTGCTGGTTGCGGTAGAAGACGGAGAAGCGCAGCATGCGCCCGGCGATCAGCTCCGCTTTCTCCTGCAGCTGGGCCAGATGCTCCTTGGCATAGTCTGGGGTTGGGGACATCGGGGTGAATCCCCCCCCCCTCCTTCGGCAGCCCAGCCCCTCCCATCCCATCCCATCCCATCCCACCCCACAGCTCCCATTCCCCACACCTCCTGCTTCCCACTCATCAGCTGCCGCTCCAACCGGCCCCGGCTTGTGCAAGCTCCTGGCATCGCCCCCGTGCTCCCGGCTCCTGGATCCCAGCCCCGGGAACGCCTCCGCTCACCCCCGGTGCAGAACTCCACCGTCTCGCTCCAGCCGGACACCAGGTACTCGCCATCGCTCTGCTTCACGGCCGTCTGCACCGCCACGCTGTACTCGGTGCGGGGGCTCAGGAACCAGTGTCCCCGCACCGTCATGGGCAGCGGCACCGCCTTGGCCACCAGCTTGGTGGGGACATCCTGTGCCAAAGGGATGAGGGTCAGGATTTCATCTCACACACCCCCCTCTTCCCTCCCTACCCCTTCCCAATCCCGAGTGCTGCTGGGATGGGGACTCAGCTTCTCCCAACCAAGGGGGTGTCTTGGGGACCCCTGCTCCCAGCATCATCTCGTGGTGTCAAGAGGCCAGGGAGCATCACCGCAGTGCAGAGCTGTTTCTGTGGCAACGGCGGATGCTGAAGTCAGGAGACACAGGGGAAAAAAAAGGAATAATCCCCCCCCATTCCCCCCCCCCTTTATTACCGGGGAGGAGGGAGGAAAAAAATAATGTTAAACATTAAATAGCATCACCCTGGCAACGGCGCTGCTAAAACCGGCCCGAGTGAGTGACTCGCAGCCATGCGGAGGGGGAGCGTGAGCGGCTTCGCGGGGCCTTGGGGGCTTGGTGGCACCTCGGTCCCCATCCCGGTCTCCTCCACTGTGTCCCAAGGGAGGATTTGACCCCAATTCGGCACTGGAGTGAGCACAAACGCTGCTCCCCCCCCCAGCCCCATCTCCTCGCCCTAAACGGGACCCCCGCGTCCCCCCCCCACCCCGGCTCACCCGGTGCTTGAACTTGTTGGAGTTCTTGTTCTCCTTCTTGTTGAGGTCGATGAAGTAGTGGGTGACCCTCTCCAGGTCCCCCTTCTCCATCGCCCAGGAGATGCGGAAGGAGTCGCAGGTGATGTTGTTGATCTCGATGTTCTTGGGGGTGGAAAGCAGCTCCATGGCCGGAGGAGGTGTGGGGCTCCTGCGGGACACGCGGGGGTTGCTCTGGGGGTGCCGAACGCAACCGGGGGCGACCGCAGCCCACGGCGGCAGCTGCCGCCCGCCCGCAGCCGGGGGCCCGCGGCAGAGCAGATGGCACCGGGGAGGGAAACGGCAGCCGGCAGCCAGGAATAGGCAGCGGGGAGCCGGGAACGAGCCCGCCCGGGTGCCGCGGGGCCCCGGCTCGACGCCAGCGCCTGTTTCGGGGTTTGCTCAACACCGGGTGGGGAAAGAAAAACAAGGGGAGCGGAGGGAGGGATGGGAGCGGGGAGCGGTGCGGGAGGAGAGCCTGGATCCGCCTCTGCCCCGGCCCGCGGGCGCTCCCTGCCTCAGTTTCCCCTTGGCTGGCGCTGCGCTTCCCCCCCTACGCCATGGGGGGGGGTCTCACCCAAGGGTGGGGGGTCTGTGGGTGTAGCAGGTGCCAGCGGTGGCACCGAGCTATGGGGTGGTTGCTGGGGTGGGTGCCCCCCGCTTCGCACCCCAGCACAGGAGCCGTGCCACGCTGCAGCGGGCACCTATCGATGCCTGGCACCATGGGGCTGCCCCCCATGTACACCCGTGTCCAGGGGCACCCACAGCCGGAGAACCAACAGTCCGCAGCCCCCCCCGCGTCGCTGCACGGCATCACCACCATCACCACCATCATCACCATCGCTGGTGCCAACACCGCTCAGCACCCACGGGCGCAGCCCCCCCACGCTCCCAGCCACCCACAGCCCCCCCACCCAGCCTCCCCCAGTGCTCGGCACCCACCAACCCCCCCCAAGCTGGTGTCACCCCACACCAGCAGAAGGTCACCGCTCTGGGGACACCGGTGCCACCCCAATGCCCCATTTGGGTGCCTGGCAGCGGCCAAGCGGGCTCTCTGCGGGCACACCGCGATGTGCCCGTGCCTCCGCATCCCCATCCACGCACCCCACATCCTCATCCACGCACCCCGCGGCCCCCAGGCAGCCCCTCCTCCAGTTCCCGCTGGGAATCGCGCTCCCGAGCCGGCCCGTACCTGTCCGTGCCGGGGGCTGCGGGGACGCGGTGCGGTGCCGCTGGGGGGGCAGCGCAGGGCAGGCACGGGGGGAGCGCGGCCGCGGTACCCGGCGGTGCCGCGGTGCTGCCTGCGGCTGCTGCGCCCGGGATCCTCCCCGGCAGCTCGGGAGCAGCGCGCACCCTCCAGAGGAGGGAGAGGGAATGAGACCGATGGGGGGGGGGGGGCGAACCCCAAAAGAGAGGCGAAACCGGTGCCTGTGAGCGGCGGGGGGGGCAGGACCGAGCCCGTTCGCCAATGGCTGCGAGCGGCGTCAGCGAGGGATGGGGGCAGCGGCTCCGCGCTGTGGGCGCAGGCTGGGGGTGGAGGGGGGGGCTGAGCCCATGGCACAGCCGGGACACCCCAACGCACCCATGGGGGGTGCAGGGGCTATGGGGGTGTTGGAACCCCCCGGCACCCCCCGGCCTGCGGCCCCCGGGTTTGATGGGGGGGGGGGGATGCAGGGGCCGCCTGTGCTGCAGAACCAGGGTTTATCTTGGGGGGGAGCACCCCAAAAACCTCGTTGGTCCATGGGTGTGTGGGGTGCCCGTGTGTGGGGCAGGGGGTTAGGGGGTGTCTGCAGCCCGGCACCCCATGGGATTCAAATGAAGCGAGGTGACCCCAAACTCGTCCCCACTGTGTGAGTGCCCCCCATTGTGTGCGCGTCCCCGTTGCACAGCGCCCCACGGCGGGGCTCTGCCCGCTACAAAGATGGCGCCGCCACTGTCACACGGGGTAGCATAGTGCCCAGCACAAAGATGGCGGATCACTGACGGACATGGCTGCCCTTAATAAAGATGGCGGAGACGGCGACACAATGGACACGCTTGTCGCGCTGCGCGCATGCGCGGTGCGGACGTGAGCCCGTGGCTGCCCGGGCTGGGTAAGGGGCGGCGTGGTGCGGGTACGGGGGCATGGGGGGGTGAGCCCCATGGGGAGGGGTGAGAGGGGGCCCTGATCGGGGGTGAGCCCCATGGGGGGGTTCGAGGGGGCCCTGATCGGGGGTGAGCCCCATGGGGAGGGGTGCGAGGGGGCCCTGATCGGGGGTGAGCCCCATGGGGGGGTTGGGGGGGGCTCTGGGGGTCTGAGCAGCGTGGGGAAGGGGTGCGGGAGGATCGGGGGGGCTGAGCCCCATGGGGTGAGGGATAGGAGCGGGCTGTGTTTTGGGGGGGCAGTGTGAGGGCTATGGGACGAGCTCTATTTGGCTCTGTTTGGGGGGGCAGTGTGAGGGCTATGGGATGGGCTCTGTTTGGGGGGCAGTGTGAGGGCTATGGGATGGGCTCTGTTTGGGGGGGCACTGTGAGGGCTATGGGATGGGCTCTGTTGGGGGGCAGTGTGAGGGCTATGGGATGGGCTCTGTTTGGGGGGGCAGTGTGAGGGCTATGGGACGAGCTCTATTTGGGGGGGGGGCAGTGTGAGGGCTATGGGATGGGCTCTGTTTGGGGGGGCAGTGTGAGGGCTATGGGATGGGCTCTGTTGGGGGGCAGTGTGAGGGCTATGGGATGGGCTGTGTTTGGGGGTGCCCCTCTCCATCTGTCCCCCCGCAGGCCGAGGATGGCGGAGGGGGGCTCTGGCGACGCGGGCTCCGGGGCCAGCCTGCGCCCGGGGCTGCCGGGGGCACGGGGGCTGCTGGGGAGGCGGCCCGGGGCCCCCCCCATCTCCCCCGGCCGCCTGCCCTCCATCCGCTCCCGAGACCTCACCCTGGGCGGCGTCAAGAAGGTGAGAACCGGGGAGGGAGGGGGAACCCCAAACCTGCCCCTTGGGGTCCCTGCGGGTGATGGGGACCGCGATGGGGGGGATGCGGAGCGGTGCCGGGGAGCGCTGGGTGCGGGGCACGGCCCGGTCCCCGCCGCCGCCTCCCGCAGCCCCGGGGCCGGGGTGGTTTCTGCCCTGCCCCGGGCGCTGCAGTGACCGAGCCCTGCTCTCGCCGCAGAAAACCTTCACCCCCAACATCATCAGCAGGAAGATCAAGGAGGAGTAAGTGCCGCGGCTTCATCCACAGCGGTGATGGATGGAGCAGGGCCCCGCGGACGTGGGGGTGCTGACCCCCCCCCCCCGTGCTCCCCAGGCCCAGGGAGGAAACCTCAGTCAAGAAGGAGAAGAAGGAGCGGGAGCGGCAGCGCGATGGGCACGGCCGGGGCCGGGGCCGGCCCGCGGTCATCCAGTCCCACTCCATCTTCGAGCAGGGCCCTGCTGAAATGATGAAGAAGAAAGGTAAGGGAGCTGCTCCTCTTCATCTGGGGGGTCCTGCCCTGCTCCGGGCTCACCCCGGCGCTGGTTCCTGGTCCCCAGCAGGCTCCTGGGACAAGACCGTGGATATGTCAGACTTTGGTCCTTCCCACATCATCAACATCAAGAAGGAGAAGAGGGAGACGGACGAGGAGACGAAACAGATCCTGCGGATGCTGCAGAAGGATGATGTGAGTGGGGCCGGGGTGTGGGGGGGTTTGGTGCCGGTGGGACAGCGCTGAGCATCCCTGCTGCCGTGCCCGCAGTTCCTGGATGACCCAGGGCTGAAGAACGACATCCGGAACAAGCCGGTGCAGCTGCCCCTGGCCCACTCGGGCTGGCTCTTCAAGGAGGAGTCGGGCGAGCAGGAGGATGCTGAGCCCTGGGTGCCCGGCCCCAAGGAGGAGAAGATGGAGCTGGACCCATCGGCGGTGAAGGGTGAGTTGGGGGGAACTGGGAATCACCAAGGGGGACTCGGGGGTGTTGGTTCCGGGGAGCTCCCCATGAGGCATCAGTGAGTGCCTGAGCTGCATCCCCATCCCTGGCAGTGCTCAAGGCCAGCTTGGATGGGGCTTGGAGCGCCCTGCTCCAGTGTTAGGTCCCTGCCCATGGCAGGGGTTGGAGCTGGAGGAGCTTGAACCCAACCCGTTGCAGGGCTCTATGGACTGAGGGGGGTGCAGGGCTGCCCCCCTTTCCTTTCCCTGTACCCACCCCTCCTCTCCCTGTGCAGTGAAGGAGGAGCCGTGCGATGAGGCCCCCCCCCAGCCCATGCCCAGCAGGGCCCCCCCCGGCTTCCCCCGGGATGTGCCGGTGTCGGAGCTGCTGCAGCGCCTGCGGCTCTCGGCCGAGGAGGAGCTGCTGTTCCTGCAGCTCCCGGACACGCTGCCGGGGCAGCCCCCCAGCCACGACACCAAACCCGCGCGCCCCGACCTGCACAGCGAGGACGCACCAGGGCTGCTGGGCAAGCAGGACAAGAGCCAGGTAGGGGCTGCGGGCACCGCTGGGGGGGACCTGGGGCTCGTGGAGAGAGGCCAGAGGAGGCCACGGAACAGCTCTGCCCTGGAGCCAGGCTGGGAGAGCGGGGCTGGGTCAGCCTGGGGAAGAGAAGGGGAGCCTCAGAGCAGCTCCAGTGCCTGAAGGGGCTGCAGGAAACCGGGAGAGGGGCTTGGGATGAGGGGAACGGCTTTAACGTGGCAGAGGGGAGGCTGGGATGAGGTCCCCGTCCCGTGTCCCCGCAGGAGCTGAGGCAGGCAGAGAACACGTGCACCCTGAGCGACCTCCCCGAGGGACAAGTGGGGAAGCTGCTGGTCCGCAAGTCAGGGAAGGTGCAGCTGGTGCTGGGCAAAGTGACCCTGGACGTGACCATGGGCACCCCCTGCTCCTTCCTGCAGGTACAAGGTGTGGGGCTGAGCCCCATGGGGAGCTGGCAGGGTGATGCTGGTGATGCCCTTTGCAGCCCATCCCGGTGAGGGCAGCAGGGAAGGACCCTGCTGTTGTCACCAGGGTGCGGGGGCTCCAGGGGGATGCTTCCCCCCCGCCCAGTGCCTGACGGGTTTCCCATGGGGTTGGGCTGCTCATGGGTGGTTCTCGCCGGGCCCAGGAGCTGGTGTCGGTGGGCATCGGGGACGGCCGCACCGGGGAGATGATGGTCCTGGGCCACGTCAAGCACAAGCTCGTTTGCTCCCCGGACTTCGAGGCGCTGCTCGAGCATCGGCACCGGTAGCGCAGGGGGAGCTGCGGGGGACCATGGGGCTGGTTGGGGCCGCTGCAGCCCCTGGTCCACCCCCTGCAGCTCCGGGGGTGCAGGACCCCGCTGTGCCCCTGCCCGCGCCTGGGGACAAATGTGGAATAAACCCCTGGGTTTGCCCATTTCGGGCTGTTCCGTCTCATCCTGCCCATGGGGGTCACAGCCTGCGCTGCTTCCTCGCCATGGGGAGAGCCGGGGGGTCCAGCATCACCCAAGGGTGCTGTCGCGGAGCTGAATCCCCCCTGGATGCCCCCCAGGCACCGCCGGTGGGCAGGGAGTGGGACTGCGGCTGCCCTTTGCCCCTGCTGTTGCCCCCCCCAATCCCAATTCACCCTTCCCAATCCTATTGTACCACCACATCCCCATTTCCTTATCCCAAATCTCAATTTATTTACCTCCTATCCCAATATACCTCCCAAATCTCATCTTTTTTTACCCCAAATCACAATATACCTCCCAAATCTCCACTTCTTTACCCCAAATCCCAATATAACCCCCCAAATCTCACCGTTTTTACCCCAAATCCCAGTATACCTCCCAAATCCCAATATAACTCCCAGATCTCACCTTTCTTACCCCAAATCCCAATATACCTCCCAAATCTCAACTTTTTTGCCCCAAATCCCAGTATACTTCCCATATCTCCACGTCTTTACCCCAAATCCCGATATACCTCCCAAATCTCACCTTTTTTACCCCAAATCCCAGTATACCTCCCAAATCTTTACCCCAAATCCCGATATACCTCCCAAATCTCACCTTTTTTACCCCAAATCCCGATATACCTCCCAAATCTCCACTTCTTTACCCCAAATCCCGATATACCTCCCAGATCTCACCTTTTTTACCCCAAATCCCAGTATACCTCCCAAATCTTTACCCCAAATCCCGATATACCTCCCAAATCTCACCTTTTTTACCCCAAATCCCAGTATACCCCCAAACCCCAGTTTATTTCCCTCTTAACCCCAAATTCACGCCCCCAAATCCCTATTTATTAATTCCCAATCCCAATGTACCCCCACCAAATCCCGCTGTACCCCCAATCCCGTTTGACCCCACCCCCGTTCCTTGACTCCGCCCCCTTTAGGCCCCGCCCCTCCTGGCGCTGTCCGCGGTGCTGGGCGGCGCGAAGGGGCGGAGCCACGCGGTGGGCGGGCCGCGCCTGCGCAGAGCTTTCCCGCCAGCGTGGTCGGGCGGCGGGGCTCGAGGGCCGCGCCATGGAGCCGCCGCGGTTCCCCCCCGGGCCCGGTCCCGGTCCCGGTCCCTCCGCTCCGGGCAGGCTGCGGGGCCTGGTGGGCCGAGCTCAGCGCCTGCCGCCGCCCGGGCCGGCCGAGCCCTCGCTCTGCTCCCTGCTGCGGGGGCTGAGCATGGAGCCCCGCGGCGGGGCCCGCTGGGGACCGGCACCGGGACCGGCACCGGGGCCTCGGCCTCCGTCCGCTCGCAGCCCCGCGCCCCGCGGTGATCACGTGGCGGCGGCGCTGCCGGCCCGCGGGCGGTGAGTCCCTGCGGCACCGAGCGGCCCGGACCGGGACCTGCGCTGGGCCCGGGGGGGCCGCGGGTCGGGGCCTGTGCGCGGCTCTGGGCCCTCGCTGCGGGGGAGGCATCGGGAAGGGAACGGGGCTGGAGCAGGGCCCGGAGGTGGGGAGGGGCTGAGGGACCTGGGGGTTCAGATGGAGAAGAGAAGGCTCAGGGGGGACCTGATGGCTGCCTACAACTGCCTGACAGGAGGATGGAGCCAGGAGGGGCTGGGCTCTGCTCCCAAGGGATGGGACAAGGGGAAACGGCCTCAAGCTGCACCAGGGCAGGTTTAGATGGAGCTGAGGAACAATTCCTGCCCCAGAGGGTGCTCAGGCATTGGAACAGGCTGCCCAGGGCAGGGCTGCAGGCACCGTCCCTGCACGGGTTCACACCCCCTCAGTGCCGTGGGCCAGCCGTGGCCTTGGCAGTGCTGCGGTGAGGGTTGGAGTGGAGCAGCTGAAAGCTCCTCCCCACCCTGCTCGATTCTCTTTGGGATTCTGCCTCTGAGCCCTCTGATGGTTTCAGCCCAGCCCCGGGGGCAGCAGGATGGGGACCCCCCATGGCTCAGTCAGGGCTGGCCACCAAACCCGGGTGTTGGAGCCCCTCCAGGCTCCTGGCCGTGGGGCAGAGCAGGGGGTGCTGTGCGTGGGGGGGTCAGCACAAGGGGGTTGGGGTCCCGGGGTGCAGGCTGAGCTCTGTGCGCACCCAGGGTGCTGTGGCGGGGCAGAGGGGACGCGCCGCCTGCTCCCCCTGGCAGAGGAGCCCCCGCGCCGGCCCAAGGGGTGCCCATCGCCGCTTCTGCACCCACCCTGAGCCCACCAGCAACCCAGCGCCTCCCTCCGGGCCCCGCCGCCGCCAGCAGAGCGTAAGTGAAGCATCGGCAAGGTCCAGGCGCAGCCGGGGGGTCTGGGCAGCACCGGGCTCACGCTGCCTCTTCCCACCTCGCCAAGGGCACCAGGGGTGAAGGCGGCACCGAAGGGCACAGCCCTGGCTCTGGGGCTGAACTCCGTGAGCATCCAGTGCCAGAACGAAGCCGTGTTCCAGTACCACGTCACCTTCAGGTACCGGCGCAGGGGCTCCCTCTTGCTCCCTGCATCCCCATAGCCACTGCGTGGAGCGGCCGCGGCAGCGCTCGGCAATGGGCTCCGGGCTTTGCCCCTCGAGGGTCTGTGGGGTCCGGAGAGGGTTCGAGGGGTGCAGGGAGAGCAGGCGCTGCCTCCCCGCAGCCCCCAGGTGGAGTGCAGGAGCGTGCGCTTGGCCATGCTGAAGGAGCACCGGGCCGTGCTGGGGGACGTGATGGCCTTCGATGGCTTCATCCTCTTCCTGCCCATCCAGCTCCCGCAGGTGAGGGGCCACGCGACCCGCGCTGGGCTTGCTCGGGGCAGCCTGGGGCCTGCAGCCCATGTGGGGGAAGGAGAGCACCCACATCACCCATCCTGCCCGCAGCTCGTCACCCTGAAGGTTCAGAGGAGGAGCGACGGGGAGGAGGTCACCATCAGCATCCAGATCACCAAGGTCCTGGAGCCCAGCTCCGATCTCTGCATCCCCTTTTACAACGTGGTGTTCCGGAGGTGAGCGATGGCCCAGACCCTCCTCTTCCTCCTCCCCACCAAGCCTGGGCCCATCCTGCTTTTCCTCGCCAGGGTGATGAGGATGTTGGATATGCAGCTTGTGGGGAGAAACTTCTTTGAGCCCACCCAGGCCACCATGTTACAGCATTACAGGTGGGTGCTGGGCACCTCCTCCTGGCTGGGGCCATCCCTGTGCCCCATAGCAGCGGGCTGGGATGGGTGACCTCAGAGCTCCAGCTTTAACCCAGGCACTGTTGGGCATCTTCTGCTCCGGGCACAGGCTGCAGATTTGGCCAGGATACGCTGTCAGCATCCGGAAGAAGGACGGGGGCCTCTTCCTCTTGGTCGATGCCATCCATAAAGTGATCCGCAGCGAGTCCGTCCTGAACTTCATGTGAGAGGAGGGGGGGATCCCAGGGGAGCCCTGGGGGGCCTTAGGGATGAGGGAGGTTTTCCTGCAGCCACGGGGCTGGCCTGGGTGAGGGCACTGCCGGCCGCAGGCACCAGCGATGGTGGCACCGCCGATGGCTGTGGGACAGCAGCGGTTTGATGTGGGGCTCGCGTGGCCCTGGAGCATCCCCCCGAGCTCCTCCTGCCCCCCAGGCACAGCATCTACAAGCAGAGCCCGGGCAGCTTCCAGGAGGAGTGCGTGAAGCAGCTGGTGGGCAGCGTGGTCATCACCCGCTACAACAACCGCACCTACCGCCTCGACGACATCGACTGGAGCAAGACCCCCCAGGACACCTTCACCCTGGCCAGCGGCGAGGACGTCACCTTCATCAGCTACTACAGGTAGGGCCGGACGGGGCGTCCCTTGGGAGCAGAGCCTGTGTTGGAGGAAGGGCCTGGGGAGCCCCGCGTGGGGGAGCGGGAGCATCTCGCCTGGTGCTGCTTTTCCAGCAAAACCTATGGGATCACCATCAAGGAGCTGGAGCAGCCGCTGCTCGTCCATAGGCCGAAGGAAAAGCTGACCCCGGAGGGGAAGGTGAGACAGGGATGGGGAGCTGGGGAGCGGACATGGAGCCCCGTGGTGTTTTCCTGGCTCCTCCAGCCCCTGCCCTGCCCAGGGCTGGGTGAGAAGGGGCTGGCACCGTCCTCGGGGTGCTGAGTGCCGGTCCCCATCCCCGCAGCGCTGCTTGGACTTGGTCCTGCTCGTGCCAGAGCTCACCTTCATGACCGGGATTCCTGACATGAGGAAGGACAGTCGGATGCTGAAGGTCAGAGCATGCTGGGAGCCGGGTTGGAACTGGATGAGGTCGCTTCCAACCCAGACCAGTGTGGGGTTTGGTTCTGTGGAGGGGGACCCCCGGGTGCTCCGAGCCCCCCCCCTGCAGCCGGGGCTGTTCCTGCTGCAGGACGTGACGGGGGCGATGCTGCAGAGCCCGCAGCAGCACTACCTGCGCCTCAGCAGCCTCCTGCACCGCATCCGCCACAGCGCCGAGGCCTCGCAGGAGCTGCAGCGCTGGGGGCTGTACCTCGCCCCCGACATCCACAGGGTGAGGGTCCCGGGGTGCCCCGCGGCAGCGGCGCGGCAGCAGCACGGCAGCACCACGGCTTCCTCCTCCCTTAGACCGAGGGCCGGGTGCTGCCCATGGAGAGGATCAACCTGCGCCACGGCTCCTTCACCCCCTGCGAGGACCTGAGCTGGAGCAAGGTGGTCGTGAGGGAAGCCTCCATCTCGGCGGTGAGCCCCTGCCGCAGCCGCGGCACCAACGCCCCCGGCTCTGGAGGCCGGGCATGGCTTCCCCCCGCTGCCATCCCGGCTCCCTCCGGAGCTCCTCGGAGCCAGATCCCTTCCCTTGTTAGTGCTGGCATTGCGCTGCAGCCGGGTGCCTTCCCACCTCCTCCTCGCGCAGCTGGAGGCTGTAGGAGTGGGACGCTGGGGCTCCTCCGGGTCCCTCTGGGGATGCTTCCCCTCTCCCACGTTGCCCTGGGAGCCGATGGTTCAGCAGCCGCGGCCCCGAGCCCCATTCTGCCCTTGCCTCCCGCCTTAGATCTCCATGAATTACTGGCTCCTGGTGTACCCCAAGCGCCTGCAGAACCTGGCCAAGGACCTGGTGGCTGCCATGGAGAGCGTGTGCGGCCCCATCGGGATGCGCGTCGGCCGCCCCGCGCTGGTGGAGCTGAAGGACGACCGCATCGAGACCTACGCCAGGAGCATCCGGAGCATGCTGAGCACTGAGGTGGGGACAGGGCCCGGAGGGAGGCAGCTGGATGCTGGGGGGGGGTGCGCATCCCTTGGGCACCCAATTCCCGCTCCGGCTGCGATTCCCGGCAGGAGAGGGTGCAGATCCTGCTGTGCATCATCTCGGGCAGCCGGGAGGATCTCTATGCAGCCGTCAAGAAGCTGTGCTGCGTGCAGTGCCCCGTGCCCTCCCAGGTACGCCGGGGGCTCAGGGGCTGGGGCTGGGGAGCGGCCGGTGCCTCCAGCCTCGCTTTTCCCTGCTTCCCCCCATCCGCAGGTGATCAACGCGCAGACGCTGAGCGGGCAGCCGGGGAAGCTGCGCAGCGTGGTGCAGAAAGTGCTGCTGCAGATGAACTGCAAGCTGGGGGGCGAGCTCTGGGGGGTCGACATCCCCCTGGTAAGGCAAAACCCGCCGGGAACGGGGCCCTGGCACGAGGTGTTGGGCACGGGCTTCCCGCTGGGGACAGGGCACGGAGCAGGAGCTGGGGGCTCTGTTCTGGCTGTGCCGTCCCCCTTGCAGCTGGAGGGATCCGGGCAGGGAATTGCTTGACTTAGCCCTGATCCCCGCCTTCCTTCTCCGTTCCCCCACGGCAGAAGCAGCTGATGGTCATCGGCATGGATGTCTACCACAACCACAGGAAAGGGATGCGCTCCGTCATCGGCTTTGTGGCCAGCATGAACCAGTGCGTGAGGCCTGGCGGGGGGCAGCTTGCCTCCCACTCCACCCTGGGAACACGGGGGGGGTCCCACACTGGGATAACCGGGAACGGGGCAGAGCTGAAGCTGTCCCCGGCTCGGCACAGGGTTTGCGGTGGCTGGGGTGCTCCATGTCCCGGAGGACTTTGGCTGGGGAGGGAAGGGGCAGGGCCTGATGCTGGTCCTGCTCTGCCCGCAGCGTCCTCACCAGGTGGTATTCCAGGGTGGTTTTCCAGATGCCGAACCAGGAGATCGCCGACAGCCTCCGGCTCTGCCTGGCCGATGCCCTCCAGCACTTCCATGAGGTGAGGCTGAGCCGGGGCTGGAACCTCCCCTGCGAGCCCCGGGCAGCCCGGGCCCAGTGCAGAGCCCAGGGAGCCGCTGCCTTATCGGGAATGTGGGAGCCTCCCGCCAGGATCCGCTTGCACTGGGAAGAGCCAGGTCCCAGCAGGAGGAAAGCGCCTTGAGCTGCGGGGGGGGCAGGATCTTCCCTGGGCATTCTTCCCTTCCCACTGCAGCTGGGGGAGGAACAGCCTGGAAAAGCTGGAGGGGGGCTTGGGGCAAGGGCCTGCAGGGACAGGCCAAGGGGAACGGCTTTAACCTGCCCGAGGGGAGATGGGATGAGCTCTTAGGCAGAAGCTCTTCCCTGTGAGGGTGCTGAGGCGCTGGCACAGGGTGCCCAGAGAAGCTGTGGCTGCCCCATCCCTGGCAGTGCTCAAGGCCAGGGTGGACACAGGGGCTTGGAGCACCCTGCTCCAGTGGAAGGGGTCCCTGCCATTGGAGCTGGAGGAGCTTTATGGTCCCTTCAACCCCAACCCAGGCCAGGTTCCATGGGAAGGGGCGGGTTTGTGGTCCCCAGGCCCTGGCTCTGGGTGCATCCGGGGCTGTCCATGGAGTTGGGAGGCGATGAGTTCACAGCCATGAGTCCCAGCTCCTCACCAGGGCCTGGTCCCCCCCACCTGCCCATCCCATGCCTGGTGTGCGTGCTCCCTGCTCGCAGATGAACCACTGCCTGCCGCGGAAGATCGTGGTGTTCCGGGACGGGGTGTCTGACAGCCAGCTCGACACCGTGCTCCGCTACGAGATCCCGCAGCTGCAGAAGTGCTTCGACACCTTTGAGAGCTACGAGCCGGGGCTGGCGGTGCTGGTGGTGCAGAAGCAGCACAGCACCAACCTGTACGTGCCGGTGGCCGAGCAGCTCGCGGCCCCTCCGCCGGGCACCGTCCTTGACCACACGGTTACCAGCTCCCAGTGGTGAGTGGCCGCGGCCGGCACCAGAGGGGTGCAGGAGGCACTGAGGAGGGCAAAAACCCCTCCATAGAAACCCTGTCCATAGGAATCCTTGCATGGGATGGGCTGTGTTGGAAGGGACCTTAAGGCTCATCCGGTTCTGCCACGGGCAGGGACCCCTTCCACTGGGGCAGGGTGCATCCAGCTGGGCCTTGAGCACAGCCGGGGATGGGGCAGCCGCACTCCCCTGCGCACCCCCTTTCCCTTCCCTTCCCTTCCCTCCCCGCAGGCAGGATTTCTTCTTGCTGGCCCATCATTCGCGCCAGGGCTGCAGCATCCCCACGCGCTACGTCTGCCTGCTCAACACGGCCAGCCTCAGCCCCGAGCACATACAGAGGTAGGGACCGGCTCCCTGCATCCCCCCTGGCCTTGAGCCCCCCTTGGTGCCCTCCTTGGGCACCCCGGTCGTGCCCCCGCATCCCTGCGGCTTCACCACGTCCCCGCGCCGTGCCCAGGCTCACGTTCAAGCTCTGCCACCTGTACTGGAACTGGCCGGGCACCGTGCGCGTCCCCGCGCCCTGCCGCTACGCGCACAAGCTGGCGTTCCTGTCGGGACACATCCTGCACCGCGAGCCCAGCGCCCAGCTCTGTGACAAGCTCTTCTTCCTGTGAGCCGGCGCCGCGCCGCTGCCCTCCCGGCCCTGCTTTAGTCCCTGGTTCCGTTCTGCTCCTGCTTCCTGGGCTTGGGTTTTGTTGCTTTCAGGGATGCTCGGACCCGGGCTGGCACCAGCGGGCTCCTGGGGCTCCTCTCCATGGGGTGGAACCAGACCGAGCCCCAGGCTCCGGCACCGGGAGGGCGCAGGGACCTCATCCCCGCACCCCCCATGGGTGCGAATCCAAGGGCTCGGGGGGGGGGTTCGCTGGTTCCCTGCCCTGCCCTGGGCTCAGCTGCCAGGTTCCAGTTTTCCTTTGCTTCTCCGAGCTCCCGTTTCGGGAAGCCCGGCTCCTGCTGGCGCCGTCCTGGAGGAGTCGCTGCTTTCCCAGGGAGGGATCTGATGCGGTGTGCTCTGTGCTGGCGCGGCTCCCATTCCCAAGGGAAAAACCTCCTTGGAGTTCGCCGCTGCGCCGCGGTTGGGACCTCTCAGTCTGAAGCCGTTGCAGCCGCTCGGGTCACTTGGGTTTTGCCTTTACCCCCACTTGTGCAGGAGGGGCAGGGTCGGAGGGGGGCAGGAGCCTCTCCCCTCCCTTTTAACGCAGAGCAGAGCGGACAGGACCCGGTTCTTGCCCTCCTGTGCCCACGGTTTCAGTTCACTGCAATAAAGGCGTTGCTGGCACCGGTGCCTCCTGGTGCCGGGGTCTGGGGGCTCCCAGGGACACCCGGACCCCTCTGTTCGGGGCTGGAGGGCACGGGGAAGGGGACGCTGCAGGGCCTGGGGCACCGCAGCCCCCGCGCCCACGTTAATCATTGACCGGCGCCCATCGCCCTTTATTTGCCGGCCCCATGGACTTTGGCAGCGCTCGCCTTGCCCCGGCGCAGGGGGTGCAGTGTGGGGCAGGGGGGAGTCGGTGCCCCCAGAGGCGTCCGTGGGGTGCCCTGGTCCCCCCCAGAGGGACCTGAGGGATGTTCTGTGCCCCCAGAGGATGCCTGGGGGGTGGCTGCTGGTGTCCTGTACCCCGGAGGGGGGGTCAAGGGGAGGGCTCCATGGGGGGCTCTATGGGGTCCATGGGGTGCTCTATATGGTCCATAGGGTGCTCTATGGGGTATTCCATGGGGTCCATATGGTGCTCTATGGGGTTCTCTGTGGGGTGCTCTATGAGGTCTATGGGGTCCATAGGGTGCTCTGTGGGGTGCTCTATGGGGTATTCTGTGGGGTCCATAGGGTGCTCTATAGGGTCTATGGGGTTCTCTATAGTGTGCTCTGTGGTGTCTATGGGGTGTTCTATGGGGTGCTCTATAGGGTGCATGGGTGCTGTATGGGGTCTATGGGGTGCTCTATAGGGTCTATAGGGTGCTCTATAGGGTCCATGGGGTGTTCTATGGGGTCCATGGGTGCTGTATGGGGTCTATGGGGTGCTCTATAGGGTCCATGGGGTGCTCTATAGGGTGCTCTATAGGGGTAGAGAGTGCTCCATGGGGTGCTCTATGGGGTGCTCTATAGGGGTAGAGAGTGCTCCATGGGGTGCTCTATAGGGTGCTCTATGGGGTGCTCTATAGGGGTAGAGAGTGCTCCATGGGGTGCTCTATAGGGTGCTCTATAGGGTCCATGGGTGCTGTATGGGGTCTATGGGGTGCTCTATAGGGTCCATGGGATGCTCTATGGGGTCTATGGGGTGTTCTATGGGGTGCTCCATGGGGCTCCCCCTCCCAATCGCGCCCCCGGCGCCGGGCGCTGCGCAGCGATGCAGCGGGAGGGGGCGTGGCTTGCGCGGGCGCTGGCCAATGGGAGCGCTCCCCGTGCCGCCGGCTGAGCGTGCGCCCTGCGCCGCCACGACCCAGCGGAGCGGAGCGGGACGGACCGGAGGGAGGTAGGGACGGAACGGGATGGGGACGGGAACGGGAACGGGAATGGGAATGGGAATGGGAATGGGAATGGGAACGGGTAATGGGGGGGGAACAGGAGGGGTGGGAACGGGGGGCGGCGGGGACCCGGCTGCGGTGACGGGGGGCGGCGGGGAACGGAGCGGGAGCGGGCCCGGAGCCCCGGGATGGAGACGGGGATGGGGGAAGGATGCGGGGAGGGACGCAGGGAGCCGCTGAGGGCCGGTCTGTGGGGTCTGGGACCCGCCACAGGGCATGGGCAGCAGCTCTGGGGCTCGCTTTGGGACTGCCCACGGGGTCTGGGGCCGGGTGAGGGCGTAGGTGCAGGCAATGGGGGGATGTGGGGCCGGGAACGCAGCTTATGGGGCAGGGGAACACAGGCGCAGGGCCTGGCGCCGCTGGTGCAAGCTCTAGGAGCGCGTTTGGGGCAGGGGCAATGGGGCAGGGGAGTGGGGGCCCCAGTTTGTGTCGGGTGGGAGCTTGTTATGGGGTGGGGAGCGCAGTTTATGGGGTGAACCCAGTTTGTTGCGAGGGAGCCCCCGTTTGTGCGCACAGGACCCGTCCGTGGGGCTTGGCACCGCTCTGGGGCCTGTTACGGGATGGGGCAGGAGTGGGGGGGGGCAGCGAGGATCGATGGGTGCTGGGAAGTGACCCCGCGGGATGTGGGAAGGGGAAGGGCCCTGGGGTGAAGCGGGGCAGGAGGCGGGAGCGGGGTGGGGATGGCTCCGGGGCTGCTCCTCTGGGAGCCGGCCCCTTCCCAAGGGATGCTCCCGGTGGAGCGGGTGCAGCGCAAGCGCTTCCTGCCCTTGGCGAGGCCGCCGGGTGGAAGCGGGGTCCCGGCTGGGGTAAGCGGGGCGCTGCAGCGCGAGGAAGGATGCGGGGATGGGGATGAGCAGGGACCGGCCCCGTCCCGGCATGGGGCGGCTCCAGGACGGGCCTTTGTCACCATGGGCTGAGCGCCAGCCCCTGCGTGTGCCCCATCCCGGGAAGAGTTGCCCCATCCCTGGCAGTGCTCAAGGCCGGCTTGGACACGGGGCTTGGAGCACCCTGCTCCGGTGGAAGCGGCTTTGGGCTCCTTCATCCCGGCCCGTTCCGTGCCCCATGCGGGCCCTCCCCGTGGCGGAGGCGTCGGGGGCCGCTGGAGGGGCAGAGCCGCGGGTGCCGGCGCTGCGGGACGGGAGGGGTTAAACCAAAGCCTCCGCGCTTAAAGCTCGGCAGGAGGCGGCCGGAGCCCCCCGGCCAAAGGTGCCAAAGCGGCGCTGAGCCCGCAGGAATGCGGGGTCCTGGAAGGGGAGCGGGGCCCGGCCGGGTCCTGGCAGCTCCGGGTTGTTTGGGAACAATCCCCGGCTCCGGCTCCGTTCTCGGCCGTGTCCTGGGCACGGCCCCGGGCCCCCCCTGCGCTGTTACCGAGGGGTGTCCCCAGCGCACACCCCGCTGGGGTCTCGGTGTCCCCGGTGCTGCCAGCGCAGGGTCCGTGGTTCCCGCTGCCCTCACGGCTCCCACCCGGCTCCGGGCGCTGCCCCGTGGGGACGTGCGGGTGCAGCCGGGTTCCCGCAGCCTCCGTCCCCTCGCATCGATCCCTGCGCGGCTCCTTGCGATTACCGGGGTTAAAGTGCACCCCTGTGGAGGTGCCGCCCTGCGTGCGCGCCCGGCCCGGCCCTGGGGGCACAGAGGGGACCTGGCGGGGCCCCGGAGCGGCCGCGACCCCTGTGAGACCTCACCCCATGGAGCTGGGCTGGGGCTGGGGTGCGGGATCCCTGCGATCCCTGCGTGGGGTTGGGGTGCGGGATCCCTGCGTGGGGTCGCTCTGCGGGGATCCAGAGGTGCTGTGGGGCTGGAGAGCCCCCGGGAGCCCCAGAGCCCCCGGCACCGCCGGGGAGTGGAGAGCTGAGATTGGATCCGGGTGCCGGAGGAGCACGGGGGAGAAGGTGCCGGGGCTGGGTGCTCCCGGCCCTGCATGAGGCTGGTGTGGGGCAGGGACCTGCCATCGGATGGTGCCGTGGGGCAGGGACCTGCCATCGGATGGTGCTGTGGGGCAGGGACCTGCCATCAGATGGGGCTGTGGGGCAGGGACCTGCTATTATTATGGGGCTGTGGGGCAGGGATCTGCCATCGGATAGGGCTGTGGGGCATGGGGCTGTGGGGCAGGGATCTCCCATCATTATGGGGCTGTGGGGCAGGGATCTCCCATCATCATGGGGCTGTGGGGCAGGGATCTCCCATCATTTCGGGGCTGTGGGGCAGAGGAGCTGGGGGCTGTGGGGACACCGATGCTCACTGCAGTTTGTGCCTCCTCTTGCAGCCCCACCGAGGCTCCGCGATGCCCCGCGCCGGGCGCTGGTGCCGGCTCCTGCTCGCGCTGCTCTGTGTCCTGCGGTGCCCGGCGCGGGCGGGCGCTGACACCGCGGGCTCGGGGCTCTCGGCAGCCTCCTTCCTGCGGGACCTGCTCCAGCGCTATGGGGAGAGCGGGACCCTGAGCCTGGCGCAGCTCAAGGCGCTGCTGACCCGCCTGGACGTGGGCCTGGGGCCCGGCAACGCCTCGGCGCCGCGGGGGAACCTGTCCCGGGTAAGAGCAGGGCCCAGCAGCGCCCGGCGCTCCCGTGGGGCTGCGCGGGCTCATCCCGACCCCTTCCCTGCCTCCGCAGTGCCTCAGCTCCGGGGAGCTCTTCGCCCTGCACAACCTGAGCGCGGGCTCGGCCGTGGGGCCCCGCGAGCTCCAGGGGCTCTGCCCCGCGATCCTGCAGCAGCTGGAGAGCGGCGCCTGCGGGGCCGGGGCCGGGGCCGCCGAGCGCGACGAGGGCGAGCAGGCGGAGGAGAGCAGGCCCAGCGCGGCCGAGGGTAAGGGGGGCTCAGGGCACGGCTCCCCTGCGCCGGTTCCGTGTCCCCATGGGATTCCCTCGGCACGGAAGCGCAGCGTGGGCTTGGGCCCGGTCGCACAGGGAGAGCGGGGTGGGCTGGGAGCTGGGCGCAGGATGAGCCTCCGCCACACGAGCTTCCACGCAGCCAAGCGCTGACGGCGCCCGCGGTGTGGGATCGGGCTCAGCGCTGCCTGCCCCCGTGCCGTGAGGCTCTTCCAGGTGTCCTGGTGGCTCCGTTCCCCCTGCCCTGAGCAGCGCCCGTGACCGCGTCCGCACCGGAGCCCCCGGAGCAGGGATGGAGGAGCCGG